GGTCTCTCCCTTGATTCAAGAGTTTTCTCCTGGGTCTAAATATTGGGTTTGATTCCTGGACTCAGCATCACATGTGAGTAGAGTTTGTTAGGTCTGTCCCTTGATTCAAGAGTTTTTCTCTGGGTATACTATGGTCTTTCTTCCTCCACCCGCAGTACTTTTAAAACACGCTAAATTCCTATTCGATCTGGGAGTTAGCTGTGTCTTCTTACTTCTTACTTTGACAAAATTGAGCTGTTTTTAAACTTGCTGTTTGTACCGTTAACGTCTTGTTTTTAATAATTGTTGAGTTTGTTTTGTTCAAAGCGCAGTTTAAAGTATCCCTATTACGTTGCGCCATTGCTAATGGCCTTAGGGTTGCCTTAGTGTGTTCCTATGGCAACGAAGCGTCTCTTGTCTCGACCTTTCCCACTTTAACAAAATTAAACGACTCACGGTGAGATGGACGGAGTGGACCAGCTGAACAACCAACCGTCAAGAGACCGACTGACCGACTGACATAATTATATTCGTGTTGATTTACCACAGAGAGTTATTCCAGCGGATGTTCAGAATCTTTGACCAACACTAGTGGATCATTCAGTAGCCCTGTAATCATCAGTGAACCTAAATTCTACCCCGACAACACGCAATGCAAATGGAGCATTAATGTTCCAAAAGACGGAAATGTTACCATCTCCTTCACAAAGTTTAACACCGAAGCTTGGTAAGCAAGAGTGGCGCGATACGGAGTTTTACGAGGGCACAGAAGGGGTGAAGTCAGATACGTAATTGAAAAAACATGACGTTAGCATGACGTAATCGTAATCATAGTAATAATAGTTTTTGATTGATTGATTGAAGACTTTATTTAATGAGGGTGACACGTAACAGTAATTTTGTTAACTGATGAACTTGTGGACCTCAATAATGATTGTTATATAATGAATCCAATACAATCTACTTAGCCTTCTACGCAGACGTTCTTAGTGTCTGTCACGCAACGCCCTCTCCCCTTAAAAATAGCAATCAAAAACAAATTAATCCATTAAAACTCGTCAATAAGTTGAGGTTTATTAATGGAGATCGTGATGGATTTTGGAGAATTTTGTCGACTTTTATAAACCAAGTCAACTGCATTTTTTCGGTTTCACAGTACTAATCATTCTCTTGAGTATTATTTCTCTCTACCTTGTAATACTTGGGGAAATACATTAATATGACTCAATTATTTTATATTTTTCATCATATCAGAAATTGACACGTAACCAATGTTGTTTTCACTATTCACTATATAGCTGTGATCACGTGAAGATTCTCACTGATAGCGGCTTCATGATTGGTCAATACAGCGGACCGCGTTTTCCCTTTAAAGTAACCGTCAAGAGTAGCGAAACCAAAAGGGTTGATATCATCTTCAAGTCTGACGAATCAGTTTACAGAACTGGTTTCCATGCCAACTATCACGTGTATGGCAAACTTGGTAAGAGATGTGTATTGTCTGGTACATCTGACGTCATGGTCGCCATGATGGATTTAACTTATGAGATTTAGATATATTATTATGCCAACTTACTTCATCATACATGCGCAAAAAAAACAAAAAAACAACAACAACAACAACGAACGAACGAACCCGTGCCGTTCCGCGACCCTGTCGATGCCATATGTTCAGCGTATTGATTGGACGCGCATTCATCTGTAGTTGAATAATATGTTATTATATGTAAGATATTTCATCATCATCATCATCACTCTTCATACCAAAAGGTGCATAAAGCCGTATAGGTCAGTACTATTCAATATTCCTTTGGTTTCTTCCGTAATATTTACCCTCCCTGTTTTGCAATATTTGCGGTGCATACCGGCTGCATAAGAGAATAGAATGACACGATTTTTTCTTCAAAATATTTTAGCTCCTACCGCATCACCATCAACACCACCTGCCACAATACTGCCTACCAAGGCTCCACACGTCACACAAGGCGTTGGAGATTCGTTGATGGAGTAAGTATTCATTCTTAGTACTGAATTGATTTTGTCTAGATCTTGGGCTCCCTTAGGATTTCTCCATATCTAGATCTTGCAAAATGATAATGACCAGTGGTTTCTAGTTGGAGACTGCGTTGTAAAATTTCTCATAGCCCTTTTTTTTCTCTGGGTATCTTTCGTAATACTACTTGCGACTTCGTCGCTCGCTTAGACAGAGGTCATTTTTTTCGGCTTTTAATATTTTCGGCGTTGTCGACTTGTGGCAAGTCTAACTGCGTTAGTGTGTTGAATACGACATGTGAATAAGAAGTGAATAAGAATTAGGAAACTCAAACACTGCGTAAATAAATTAGTCCTTTCTCATATGCAAGCGGAATGAAAGAGAAAATTAGTAGATTATAGTTGGATAACATATTCACACGAAACAATTTCCATTTGCAGGGCATTCTTGAAAATGACCAGTGCTTTGTCGAGAATTATACAGTCTGTAAGTATTGGTCTTATACTGTAAAGAACGAGCTGAGGCGCCGTATGGACTTCAGACCTGACGGCAAGAAAGGTCGAAGCATCTTTAATATATATTTTTTGGACTTGCAATCTTTTACAGGCTTCATCCAAATTGGGAGGAGGTTCTACTGACAAAGATAATATTCTTGCTTTTAAAAGTAAGCTACTTATATATTTCATTAACCTTATAAATAAATATTAATCTTATTGTTAATATTTTTGGTCGTGCTTTATAGTTCATACCTAATAAAAGCGCAGTGTAAACAAAGTGTAATGGTCAATTTAGAACTGAATTTGAATTTGCGCACACAATAAAAGATGGTTTCTATCAATCAAGTCACACTCGCGTGATAACTCAATGTCGACTTTCTAATCGCATTTTCTGAAGCTACACGGTCAAGGTCAAGGCACAGTACGCTCGTAGAATATCGTAGACACTCAAAAACATCTGCGCTTTTAAATGATTTAAACAATAGTAAAAGCATAATATTATTTGACTTTCAAATGTGACCCTTGGTGGTTTCTGGTGTATTTTGCTTGATCAAGTAAAGCTTGGTTTGCAAATGTTTTTAATATCATCTTTTCGAAGTCATTATAATTTTTTCATTTTTTGTTTGTGTGTGTTGAAGGTGACCTTTACCAGGCCATACAGTCAATGAAGTCTCTTAGAAGTGTCTCTTCTTCAGCACTTACACACTTCGAGGAAGAACAACTTAATATGGTGCTGAAACACCTGAATACCGCGTCCAAGAAAGCTATTAAAAAACTCTCAAGTAAGGAACTATTTGTTTCACCTGGTAATGCTTGAGATATGACGTGCAGAATGATTGGTTGGTTAACGAGCTTATATTACATTAAATCGCCCGCACGCGCGTTAAAGCTTGCGTAAATCCAATTTACTAAAGTTAATGATTGTACTGTTGGAGGGGAAGGGGTGTTGATCTCCATCTTAACATCCCTGTGAGACCTCCCAAAATATCATATATTTTGCCGCAAAAAGCACCACGTTTAATGGTCGTCTCCAGTATTTTAAATAGCGCATCAGTGCAGAAAAAGGAAAACAAATCCTCAACAATGATAGCCGCGACGCGCGCCACGGTCAGTCTCAACGTTGGACACACGTGACGCACGTGGGCATTTTTAGACTCAACTTTGTCATATACGTTTAATCCTCATTTATCGCTACTTTATCCACAGTTCGACTATCACCGTCAGCTTGTTTCCTACGAAAGAAGGTTGGTCCTTGTCGTGCTGCCTTTAGACGTTGGTATTTCGACAGCTCTAAGAATAGGTGTCGCCCTTTCATTTACGGTGGCTGCCAGCCCAATGGAAACAATTTCTTGAAAAAACAAAGTTGCGAAAGTCTTTGTGGACACAAGAAGCCAGGTAAAAAATTCCAATCCAAGATAGCAAATAATTGTGATCACTCAAAAATACTTTGTGTAGTATAGACTAGTGCGACGTTACTGTCTATGCGTACGCATTATAATTGGGAAGGACGAGTGACGTGTGCTGCTAATGTACCACCTCTAACCAATACGACCCGGGTACGCGTCCTGCCGGTCTCGGTGTCGTATGTGAGTAGAGTTGTTTGTTGGTTCTCTCCTGTGCTTCAAGGGTTTTTCTCCGGATTCTCCGGTTTTTCCTCCCTTCACAAAAATCGACTTCTAAATTCCAATTTGATCCATTGGCTGTCTTATCAATTGGGTTGCAAAACCTGTTAGGCATTAAGCCGTCCACCCATGAGTGGTTAATGCATTGGATTTAGATTGTGAAAACTGCGGATTTGCGTTTAAATAACTTTGGGAATCGTTGCATTCAAATGCATATCATAACATCTCTTCCACCCTATATTGGAGATATTTTCCATGACCCTGTTTTTACTTCAAGAAGCCCTGCGGTCACCACATCTGAATTGAGTTTGTTTGATGTGTTTTTTCGTCCCTTTGCCACCAGGGTTTTTCTCCGGGTCCTCCGGTTTTCCTTCCATAAAAATCAACTGTGAGTTAAGAGTCGTCAGTATAGAATATTCGAATGTAGTGGTAGTGCGTACGTAGAAAACACGGGCACACAAGCTTCGAGCTTTAAAGCCTAACGTGAATCAATCAAATTTTTTAAAATTATTTTAGAATGTCCCGATGGTTCGCCTTTGTTCAAGTGTTTTGCGAATCCATGTGAGGTAATGTCCTGCCCAGCCTATCCCAACAACAGGTGCCAGTCAAATTACTGCGGAGGCTGTAACGCTGAATTCTATGACCAGTACAACAATAGTATTACGACTCACTGCTCGTGCCCTGATGGACAACTTGCAATCCCGCAATGCGTGGTTGATCCCTGTCAATCATCTCGATGTCATTCGCATCCCCGAGCAAGATGCAGAACCAGGTCGTGTGGGGGTTGTTTTGCGGAATTTGTTGATGATGATGGAAATGTTATTGATGACTGTTAAATAATAGAAGTTTCAACAAAGTACCAAGTTTGAATTATAAAGGGCATCTAGTTATATGCTCGATACACTATAGAATGGTAAATCACTTGAATCTTGAACCCTTAACCCTTTTGAATGCAGCCACAAACGATTTGTACTTTCGTGATATTTTGAAATGCGTAGATCTTTTTCTGCATGAATTTGAATGCAATTTGTACCGAATTTCTCCTTGCATGTTTATCTGCGCAATAGCTCATGGTTAGATATCTTCTTGTCTTGATGGAAATAGTCCACAATGTGTTAATGTTACCCCATAATGTGCACGTGATACTACAATGATTATAATTGACTTTTTGACATATTCCAAAGCAAATAAAAATGATACTTTTACCGTTGAAAAGCGTTGTAAGATGTAACCTGTAGCTTATTCGTATAGTAAACTAGATATCTGACCCTACAACACACTGAACCATTGCACACAAGATATCTGACCCTACAACACACTGAACCAT